AAGAAAAGGTATAATGCTTAGCTCGAAGCTAATGTCAAATCGAAAGTAAGAATGCTTAGCACAATCTAATTCCACAAGAATATAAAATAAAAATAAAAATTAAAAAAAATTAAAAAAAATAAGTTAAAAAAAATTTAAAATAAATAAATAAATAAATAATTATTTAAAATAAATAAATATATATATATATATATATATATATATATATATATATATATATATATATATATATATATATATATATATATATATAAATAAATAATTAAAAAGAGCTAATTGCATAAGAAAAGGTATAATGCTTAGATCTAAATGTCATGCCAAAAGGAAAGTAAGAATGCTTAGCACAAGCTTGCACCATAAAAGGCGAAATCCCTCGCCCCCAAGGCCCCGACGATCCCTTGGCCCGACAAGGATTGATGGAGGGATGTAAATCATGGTAACTCAACGGCCGGTTAAGGTAGCGGACCCGGACCTGGTGCCCACAAGGAGCCAACCCTCATTGGAGTTGAAATTCTCACACTGCGGCTGCCAGGATTCGATCCTAGGACCGTGCACCAACTTACCACCTCCGGAACCAGTTGAGCTAGACCCATGAGGGCTGCTTAGCACAAGCAAATCCCATAAGGAGAGGAACAGTGCTTGGCTCGAAGCTAATGCCAAAAGGAAAGTAATAATGCTTAGCTTGAAGCTAATGCCAAAAAGGAAAGTAAAAATTCTTAGCACAAGCTAATTCCTTAGGGATCTTTACAAATAAGCCCATTAGTGGGTATTTATTCATAAAGAGATCCAGATAATAAACTCTTCTACAAAAACGTCCACACATGGTCTTGATTTTTGTGAAAGACTAAAATAGCCCATCATACTTTAATATGCTCCAATTTCATCCTTTAATTTAATTTAACCTCAATTTGACCCTAAATTTCACAAATTATTCTATTTTAACCCAAAACACATTTTTATGGACAATTTTGTCCGTCACCGCCGTTCACCGCCGGTCAACCGTTGTTCACCGCCTGTCTCCGGCGTTGACTTTTTTTTTTTCTTTTTCTTCCTGATTTTTCCGCCACCGGTTTTCGGCGTTGATCGCCGGTCTACGCTGGTCTCTGGCTTTGACTTTTTCGATTTTTTTTTTCTTTCTTTGTGTAACATCTTTTTTTTTTCGTTTAAACAACAATGTTGCTGTGATTGACAGTAATATTAACTATATTACTGTTAAACACAGTAAAATTAACTATTCTACAGTTTAACAAAGTAATATTGCTATATTAATCTCTAGCATTGTAATATTAGCACATCAAAACTCATTATTATTATGCAATAGAGTCATATTACTCTGTTGACCGTTCAACAAATGTAAGCATAATAAAAAACAAAAAGAATTAATATTATTGTAAGTGACAGTAATATTACTATAACAGCAGTAATATTACCGTCAATCACAGTAATATTTACAATAATAGACAGTAATATTAATACGTTACTTCGTGAATAACTCAAACATACAAAAAATATCCAAACAAAATAATAATATTGATGTGGTTGACAACAATATTACTGTAACTACAGTAAAATTACCGTCAACCACAGTAATATTATTGTGTTTACAGTAATATTACAATAATAGACATTAATATTATTACGTTACTACATGAATAACTCAAACAAAACAAAAAACCCAAAAAATAATAATATTGATGTGCTTGACTGTAATATTATTGTGTATACAGTTATTTTACTGTCACTGACAGAAATATAATTACGTTGACTTGTTCAACAAATCAAAGAAAAATAAAAAAAAAATAATAAAAATAAAAAATAATAATATTACGTTAATTTACTGTCAACAGCAGAACAATTACATAAATGCATTGTCAACGGCAATACAATTACGTTAATGTCATTGACATTAAAATTACATTAATTTACTGTCAGTGACAACACAATTACGATCAACGTTTAGCGGCGGACGTGAAAGAAAAGCAAAAAAAAAAAAGTCAACGCCAGAATCCGGCGGCGGAAAACAAAAAACAGACCAGAAAAAATAAAGAACGAAAACGTCGGAATCCGGCGGCGGAAAAAACATACGAGAAAAAAAAAATCAAAACGTCAACGCTAAAATCTGGCGGCAAAAATTTTAATTTTTTGAAAAAAAAATGATTTTGAAAAAAAATATCAAAATTGAATTTTTGTGGTCAAACTTGATTATATTGGGGTTACAATTAAAAATTAGGTATAAAGGGTTGGGAGTAATTTTGTCATATACATGAATGTTTCCTTTATTTATAATAAATATTAAAGCGATGGTCTTATTGGTGAAAGAGATATAGCCCCTAAACCTAGAATAATAAATACGCTTGGTTAGGGACCTATGCACCAGAACCCAAATTCTATAAGAAGAGAAATAATGCTTAGCTCAAAGCTAATGCAAAAATGATAGAAATAATGCATAGCTCGAAACTAATGAGAAAAGGAAATTAAGAATGTTTGGCTCAATCAAAGCTAATGCCAAAAGGAAATAAGACTGCTTAGCACAAGCTAATTTCGTAAGGATAGGAAGAATGCTTAGCTCGAAGCTAATGTCAAAAGGAAAGTGAGAGACTTAGCACAAGCTAGTTCCGTAAGAACAGGAAAAATTCTTAGCTCAAATCTTATGTTAAGAGGAAAGTAACAATGGTTAGCTCGAAACTAATGCCAAAAGGAAAGTAAGAGTGCATGCCAAGAGCTAATTCCGTAAGAAGAGGAAGAACAATTAGCTCGAAGATAATGCCAAAAGGAAAGTAAGAATGCTTAGCACAAGCTAATTCCACAAGGAGAGGAATAATGCTTAGCTCAAAGCTAATGCCAAATGGAAAGTAATAATGCTTAGCTCGAAGCTAATGGCAAAAGGAAAGTAAGAATGCTTAGCTCGAAGCTAATGCTAAACATAAAGTAAGAATGCTTAGCACAATATAAATTCCACAAGAAAATAAAATAAAAATAAAACATTAAAAAAATTAAAATAAATTAAAATAAAATGACTAAATAGATATATAAAATAAATAAATATATAAATAAATAATAATAAAGTTAATTGCATAAGAAAAGGTATAATACTTAGCTCGAACTTCATGCCAAAACGAAAGTAAAAATGCTTAGCACATGCTAATCACATATGGAGAGGAACAATGCTTGGCTCGAAGCTAATGCCAAAAGGAATGTAAGAATGCTTAGCTCGAAGCTAATGCCAAAAAGAAAGTAACAATGTTTTGCACAAGAAAATTCCATAAGGAGAGGAAGAGTGCTTAGCACTAGCTAATTCCATAAGGAGCGGAATAATACTTAGCTTTAAGCTCATGCCAAAAGGGAAGTAGGAATGGTTAGCTAAAAGCTAATGTCAAATGGAAACTAAGAATGCTGAGCACAAGCTAATTCCATAAGAAGTGGAATAATGATTTGCTCAAAGCTAATGCTAAAAGGAAAGTAACAATGCTTAGCACAAGCTAATTCCATAAGAAGATGAATAATGCTTAGCTCTAAGCTAATGCCAAAAGGAAAGTAAGAATGCTTAGTTCGAAGCTAATGCCAAAACGTAATTAAGAATGCTTAGCTTAAGTTAATTCCTTAAGGAAAGGAATAATTCTTAGCTCGAAGCTAATGTCTAAAAGGAAAGTAAGAATGCATAACACAAGCTAATTTCATAAAGAGCGGAATAATGCATAGCATTAAGCTCATGCCAAAAGGATAGTAGGAATGCTTAGCAAAAAGTTAATGCTGAAAGGAAAGTTAGAATGCTTAGACCAGGCTAATACCATAAAAAGAAGAATAATGCTTTGCTCGAAGCTAATGCCAATAGGAAAGTAATAATATTTATCTCGAAGCTAATGGCAAGAGAAAAAGTATGAATTCTTAGCTCGAAACTAATGCCAAGCAGAAAGTAAGAATGCTTAGTAGAATCTAATTCCATAAGAAAATAAAATAAAAATAAAATAAAAATAAAAATAATATAATAATAAAAATAAAAATAAAAAATAAATATATTAATAAATAATAAGAAAAAACTACTTCCATCAGAAAATGTATAATGCTTAGCTAGAAGCCAATGCCAAATCGAAAGTAAGAAAGTTTAGCACAATCTAATTTCATAAGAATATAAAATTAAAATTAAAATTAAACTGAAAATTAAAATTAAAACAAAAAAAAATTAAAAAAATTAAAAAAAAATTAAGAATAAATAAATAAAGATTTATATAAAATAAACAAATGTATAAAAAAATAATAAAAAACGCTAATTGCATAAGAAAAGTTATAATGCTTAGAACGAAAGCTCATGCCAAAAGGAAAGTAGGAATGGTTAGCACAAGCTAATCCCATATGGAGAGGAATAATACTTAGCTCGAAGCTAATGCAAAAAAGGAAAGGAAGAATTCTTAGCACATGGTCCAGATTTTTGTAAAAGACTAAAATAGCCCGTCATACTTTAATATGCTCAAATTTCATCCTTTAATTTAATTTAACCTCAATTTGATCCCAAATTTCACAAATCATTTAGTTTTAACCCAAAACACATTTTTATGGACAATTTCATCTGTCACCGCCGTTGACCGCCTGTCTGCGGCGATGACTTCTTTTTTTTTCCCCTTCTTCCTGATTTTTCCTCCACCAGTTTCCGGCGTTGACCGGCGGTCATCGCCGTGTTAGTTTACGTTTTAAAACGTTTTAATTTTGGTCCACTAATCTTTATTTTAATTAATTAAATTGTGGGTAATTCAAATTATGGTATTAAGGTGATTTTATGGTAATTGATTTGTAACGTTGAAGGCAATAAAAGACCATGATGGGTGGGATTTGTCTTCTGCCGTTACAAATCAATCGTGGCCCTCTTCTCTCGTCTATAAAAGCACCCACAACTCTTCTCCTCAACCATCAGACGCAATTGAGAATTCCATCACTTACAGAATATTAGTGAGTTGTGATATTAGAGAGATAGAGAGAAGAAGGTGTGCTACGAATAAAGTTCTCACAAAGAGATTCGAAGGAGGCCTGGCTAGGCTCGGCTTGTAGATTGCTATCGTTCATCGTCTCTATCGAAACCCATGGCGAACGGTATGTCGATAATCTCTATTACGTGATTATATTATTAAGATGAATTTAATTTCAAGATTCTGTGATTAAGATTTTCCGCATAAAATTAAATAAAAATCTTTCAATTGGTATCAGAGCAGGGTTTTGAAATCAATTCATCTTAGAACTCAAAATTTGTTATATTTTCATCTTACGGCCGTATGATTTCGTGGATTTAAATTTTGAGATAAAATAATTGTTTTGTTGTGTGATTATATATTAACTAGTATTTCACCCGTGCGATGCACGGTGAACACCTTCGAGAACAAATTTACTATTGAACAATTTAGGATCGTAAAGAAAAATATTTCAAAATAAATATAAAACTAATATAAGCAAATATGTTGTTCAACAAAAACATTTGGTCCAAAGCAACATAATATTTGTTTATAACATAATGCATAAAATATTCCGTTCAACATGTCTTCCATATGAGAATGCTAGAACTAATTAAAGTAATTGAATCAAACGCACTGCACCACCTCGTTGGTCCGCTTAAATCTAACAGTACATAGTAGATAACCTGCAAAATTTACTTACTTCGCATGAATTGAGTTCAATGCATTCTTTATGAAACAACAATGACAATAATGCGTAATCAAATAATATTTACATTACATTACTTACCAAATGCGAATGCAGCGAATATGCTAGAAATACAAAATCACGTGCAAACATACCTAAACATAAAGAGGATATACACACATTAATAAGACTAAATATCGTTATAATAATATAAATAGACGGTAATTTACGACATATACCTTCATATGCGCTGAAATACTTCTTTGTAAACAATGTTGCTAGTTGAACTCGACAACCCACCGGATTCGGACTTGATTAGGATCTTTATGCCAGATCTACTCTTGACTCTCGAGAGTGCAACGTACAACTGACCGTGGCTGAATACAGGTCTGGGTAGATACAAACCAACGTGAGAAAGTGTTTGACCCTGACTCTTGTTGATGGTCATTGCAAAGGAAATCATCAGTGGAAATTGTCGCCTCTGGAACTTAATTGGCAGAGTAGAGTTCGACGGGACCAACGTCATTCGAGGAATGAAAACAACATCACTGGTATTTTTGCCAGATAGAACCTTGCAGCTAAGAACATGAGTTCCCATTCTAACAACTTGAAGTCTGGTTCCATTGCAAAGGCCTCTCGCCTGGTCGATGTTTCGTATGAGCATAACAGGAACATTTTCCTTGAGTTTCAGCCTATGTGAAGGGAGACCGGAGCAAGACACGGTGTTGAGGAATTCGGTCGTATAAATTTGAGCATTCTCTTCCGAACTCATCTCATCATTGCACATACTATCCGCACTGAGGTACAACTTCTCTTCGCCGGGAAGGAGGGAACATAAGTATTCGTTGACAAACTCAACGCAGTCATTAGTCGGCACAAGCACCGCCCTCCCTTGGAAGTAATCGGGATTTGATATGTTACTCAACAAATCCGGATATACAAACTGCAACAACTCCAATAATGGATCTTTGGAATCGGGAATTAGCATGTCCTCGGGAATCAACAGACGCTTCACCATCGTTTTGCTCTCCCGCCTCCCCATTACCGATACTCAGTATCCAATCAGCAAACTCCTTTACTTCTTCAACTTCCGATGGATTAGAACTTGATTTAAGCCTCATATTCGTATGCAACTTAAGAACCTTACATTATTCCCAAAGCTGAGATGAGTTGATCGTAGCGTGAACAATGTCCTGCCTTGATGCCTTCAGTACAACAGGTAAAATCTGTCTAAAGTCTCCGCCAAGAACGACAACCTTGCCACCGAATGGTTTGGGAACATGCGTGATAGATCGCAAGGTCTTGTCAAGCGCTTCGAAACAATATCTATGCATCATCGGTGCCTCGTCCCATATAATGAGCCTGGCCTTTATAAGCAATTTTTCTTGTGGACTCTCCTGTGTAATGTTGCAGGAGGAACCATCGTGCACAATGATGGGGAGTCCAAATCTAGAATGAGCGGTCCGGCCACCGGGAAGCAGCAATGATGCTATGCCACTCGAAGCAACATTAAGAACTATTTCCCCCTTCGAACGGACAGCAGCGGACAACGTTCTCCATATAAATGTCTTTCCGGTACCTCCGTGACCGTAGAGAAAGTACATCCCGCCACAATTCTTCGACACAACATCCATGATGGCATCGCATACCCTTCTCTGCTCATCTGTGATAGAAGAAAGATATCGTTTCAGTTCTTTAGTCATCGCAAATACATCGTAGTCCGACTCATCGAGCACTAATCGGTTCTCCGTGTCATCCATCGACGAATCTAGTGGCATCGGCATAGAGTGAAAATTCCGCAAGCTCTTGCCGTTGCTCTGTAGGATCTTCTCGATTTCTATCAACGCGTAGTTCTTCAAACTATCATCCGATAGAGTCAAATCTGCAAAGGTATAGATAGTAAGACAAATGTGTTCCGGACAAATAATAACTTGTACAAAATTTTGTAAAATACCACAAAACTAATCGATACCTGGATTATTATGACGTTTCTGGTGCTTGTATGTAATATCATCAGACAAATTGGACCAACATTTCTCCCAAACATGTTCCGGTCTGCTCAAACTATTAGAAAGCAACATAACAGCGAACAACAATCTGAGGAAGTGTCCGTTTGCCCAACCGTATGCCTCTCTAATTGCACCAATGTACTCCTTGTCATCTTCCAACAACCCCAAAATATAGCACGCATCCCTAAACGTCGCGTAAACATTGCCACCCACCGTTCTGATGTCCTCGTAACGTTTGCACCCTCTTTGGACGTTGAGCAACAATCTAAGATAAAAGTCTTCTCCCTTTGTCGGGGGCACATTGGTGACTCTTCCAATGGCAAACCTCTTCTTTCTTGGCACCCACACCCGAGAATCATCCTTGTACACATAATGTTGGGGAAACTCTGCGTACCGTAACTCCCTAGCTGGTGGGTAGGTCTTGTTCGCCTCGAACCACGCCAAGAACATGGTTTGCCTCGCGGTTTGCCTTTCCAAGACACTCTTTAATGATTGGTTCTCATTGAATACCAACGGTTGATTGTCGGGGAGATGGAAACTCAATCTAATGACGGGTGGATCTCGGTAATGTATCTCAAATGCAAATATCCTCCACATTGCCTCGCACGCAGACAAATATCTGCAATCATAATACATTTTGATTTCATCACGAACAGCAGGATCAGCGTCCGTAGACGGAGGTTGGAAAAATATTGCCGTGACACGATCGTGTCCCTTGTTGACGTACTTGAACAAATACTTTATTGACTTGCTCTGGTTGCACAACTCAATATTGATGTGGGCTCGATATTTACTCAATAACACACGGTTGTAGGGAACCACAAATCCATTATCAAGAATAGTATTCTTCTTCCTAACCGTTCTTCCATCATCCCTTCTCCTATATACTGGGTAACCATCAGGGTCGGCCTCGGTTCGCTGTACAAACTTTTTTGGAAACCTCTTCGTACAAACGCCATCCTTCATGCACGGTGAATTCAAATTCGCATGGCCGCACGGGCCGTGTATCATGTATTTCTCTACCAAGTTGTACATCTTTCTGTCGGTTTTTTTGTCTGGAATTTCCGCACAGATCATCCTGTCGATGTCGGCGGAGCACTTAGGTTTGGCATCGTTATCCAACCACAACAATATATGTGCATGAGGCAGACCACGCTTCTGAAATTCTATAGTACACACATCTGCGTATAAAAATAATTACGTAAATTACGTAAATTAATATTCATACTTTAATACGATACTTGATGTAATGAATTTACTCGCAAAGTAATTTATTAAAAAGAGTTCATGACTTACGTGCTCTAATTCGTCCGAATATATGTCCCTTCTTGAAATCCGTCATCAAACTGTCCAACTTCATTTTGAATACGCGACATAGAATATCAGGGCGATCCTCCGGTCTGACTTGTATCATTGAGGACCCTTTGTATTTCAGGCCATTGTGGGTTGCATGTAATAGTTATAAATAATGATGGAAAACCAATCCAGTTACAAATTTGAAATGCGTCGACAAAATTATTGAACATGTACCGAGGTCCAGGAATGAAAGAACCTGGCAGAATTATGCGTTTTCCAACTGATTTTCCCTCAGTGTCCCCTTTGAAAAAACGTTCTTCAATGCCTTTGTACATGTCCACACGCAACTGGTCCTGGTTGTGCCTAATAAAATTCAACCTTTGCGACTCAATCATAGAATACGCGTCCACTCCAAGCTGTTGGAACAACTTTTTTGAATTCAGCAGTACTGGACTGTCGATGCTTCTTTTTTGGAAACGGTAAGCAAAGTATTCTCGCATGGTTAAGTTCTTTCGTTTTCCACTGTTACCTCGAAAAGATTCTCTCAAGTCAATATCCTCTCTATATCCATCTTCCCCGTAAGGAAATATGAGCGGATACTGGAACGGCAGGTACAATGGGTGCAGTTCACTAATGCGTTGCAGCTTCTTGGACTGAGTCTCAACCACAATGTCTCTAACACCCTCTTGCGTGTCAAAATCTCCAACTATCAACGCTGCTATCTCACTCGCATTAGGGAGATTGTAAGTCCTCCCATCGGTGCTACGACTCTTAACCAGCTTTAGCTTAACACCTTGCAGGCCTTCTCTCGAAAATCGATCACGGGCAGCTCTATACGACTGAGCAATGACGTTGTTCTCGTCGATCATATCCTTCAAGGATGCAACAATTTGAGTATCAAGGTTGTTCGAGCCATTTCCAGACCTACAGTAAAAAATAATTAAAGAATTACACTCGCCTCGAAATACTTCATATGTATTGTAAATGGGTGCACGAAAAATGAAAATAATTTTACCTGACAGCATCAATTCTATTGCGGACTTCATTCTCCGTATCGAAGATGTAAAGTTGTGCGAATTTAGGTCGTGCACCTTCCTCTGGTAACAAACTACCCAACAGGTGGTAATTCTGACCTTGAAGTAAAAATGTGTATGGTCCAGCACCCGTATTAATAGATGTTTGGACCTTTCCGCCAAGTGATGTGAAAGCAAACATCATGTTGTAAGAACGAAAATTGTCCTGAAAGTGTTTGCTCTGCCTATCCGTACCGAAAAGTAAATTGGAAAGAGTAGGTGGGGCATTTTTCATATAAGGCAGTTGTACTTTATCTTTGTGGTAACACAAAGAAAACTCGGGTCTCGATGTGTTCGTGTGCTTATCAAGGCGCCCAGCGTACCACATCATTGCACCACACGATTGACATTCATACGACTGATCTCCCAGATCGTCGTAATCTGGTATAGCGTAACATCGAATCAAATACGATAATGGCAAATTACAATAATCCATAAATTTGAAAGACTAAATAATAATAATAATAATAATATAACGTTTAAAGATTAAAAAAAAAGTTATTACCTTCATAATCAGCTGAATCATCGCTATTGTCGTCGTTGGAAACATACTCAGAATCTGTCAGCAAAAATATTTTTTTATCATTCACTGAAATTGGTTATTGTATATTAGAACAATGTATTTGGCAAACCGCGTGTTATTTAAAAAAAAAACAGTAATTACCTCCACTGTCCGATGTGACATCTCGTAATGTTTGAGAATCCTCGTCTTCTAGTATAGTTGGTGTATTATCCATACTTAATCCACGTGCAACCGATTGTATCCTTTTTTTACTCCTTGAAATTCTCTTTCCATGCCTGTACATTAAAAATGATAATTATATATATATATATATATATATATATATATATATATATATATATATATATATATATATATATATATATATATATATATATATATATATATATATATAAATATATTGCATTACTTAAAAAAATAATAATATTAACTACATAATGTAATAACGAACGTGCATATCAAAAAAAAAAAAAAATCACCTTCTTGTGGTTTCGTAGAATGAATTTAGAGAGTTAACCAGAATGTCATACGTTCCCGATTTAGGATCATAAGAGTGCCGGTTAGTATCTGTCCCGGGATAAAATTAAAAGTTAAAACATTTAATAAAAAAACGTTCTTGAATTTTATGTTTTGATGGTATAAGAAATATTAATTAACGAAATCACCTTCATAGGGTAACGTGCTCCCGTTGACGGTAGTATGGATATTTTGTTTCGCTAATATTGCACGATTTAGCTTGTCGGTTGTTGAAGATTCTACAACATTTGGTTTTTATATAGGAAATTGGATTTTTCTAGTTGTACTCGACGGGGTTCCAATGATAGTTTTTCCACGAAACGTCGCATGTGCCAATTGTACGTTTGCAACATTTAATCCCTGCACCTCATCCGTTTGTAGGTTTTGTACATACTTTTGATGACTTGAATTTCCTATTTTGTTAATAAGATGGAACAATAGAAAAAAAAAAAAAATTTCAATTTATAAATTATCATTTTGTATATGTAACTTTTTCTTTAAATGTTAGCCTTTTCTATTATTATTATTTTAAAACAATGGTAAAATAATGAAGTATTTAATATGGTCTAATTTCATGGTAGTTGATGTTTAAAATATCATTAAACAATAACGAATTATGTAGCGTGTGTGTGTGCCAGTCGTAAAGGTTATTGAGTGCATTATTACCATTAAGTATGTCCGATGTAACGCAGCTCAATGGAGTTTGAAAACCGCTTCCATGAAATGCGTCTTCATGCGATGTACCATGTTCGATGATAATTCCCTTTCCCTTTTCAATTGCTTGTTTTTCTCCTTTTGGGTGAAAATATAATCAATTGTAAGGAAATTTAATATAGAAATTGTAAAATATATGAAAAGCAAACTTATTTGAAATATTAAGTTTAAGTCATTAACTCACCATTTGAAACATCACTGAGAATCCAACTCGATTGCGTCCGAACAACACGTCGTGTATTAAAAGCATCATGTAGCAATTTCCTTTTTTCAGAAGGAACTTGTTTGTACCGTTTCTTGATTAACTGCAAAAATTAAACATGTTAAATATTTAGTTCAATATAGGTAAAACAGATATATACAATCTATATAATTTAAACGTGTTCATGTTGGTTAAGAGAAGGTCTATTTCGAACATGATGTCAAATAAAATTATTATTCTATTCGTACAGTTGAATCGTTACTTTAAAGTTCAAACGTCATATAAATGTAAATGGTGGTATTTAAATGTCAGATGAGGTTAATAACTAACCATTCGTTATGTCTGTAAGAACGCAAGCAGATCGCTTATGAACACCACTCATTCCATAAAATGAAGCATCTTGCGGTTTTATGGCTTCGTCCATGATATTTTTTCCCTTTCCGTTATCAAGGTGGTCTAAAGTGTGTTGACAATATATAAGAGATTATTTGACAGTAAACATTAACAATAAGTAAATATACCAAACTATAATGTTAAGTAGTAGTGTAGCATGCACACCATTAGTCACTTCGCGAGTATTCCGCGCTCTTGGGTGCCAATTCTCTTTCATGGAGTATTGTTGAGCAGGCAGCACATTCGAATTGTTGACAACTGTACATTCGTAGAAGTTGAAATTATGCGAATACTTATACAATTATATTGTTATTTTATATATATAATAAATAGTACAATTCTTACTTTCTGACATATTGCTTGATAAATCATTATACCCAAAAGCAATCTTTTTCCTTAATATTGATGATCTCTTAGCATTAAAGGTACCTGAAAGAAATTACTACATAAGATTCATAATAGAACTACAAGTCTTAAGTGTGGAAAATCAATGGTTGTAGTCAACCAATAATATATGTATTAAAACGTACAATAAATATTGTGAAATATGAAAAGATAGGCTATTTTATTGTAAAACGTTACCAACAACTACATTTGGCGAAAATCGCGGACTGTCGGTGTTGATCTTGCGCTTAGGTTTTGCAACTTTTTTGTCAACCGGTTGCGATGAATATTCTAAATGCATAAAAAAAAGGAATAAAAACGAACGTGTATTGAAAAAAAAAATCATCTAATACAGTAAGAAATTGACAAAAATAAATGTTAATTAAAGTTATTTTTCCGAATAATATACTGATTATACAGTAAAACAAATGTACATATGAAATGAGAAGTAAAATATATTTTATAGATTATTATCATATGAACGAAAATAATTAAATTTGTATTATTTATTAAAGTCTTACCAATAGGTACATCATAGAGAATGGATGTATTCTGTGAATTCGGTGATTTCGCTGTATCGTCCATCTAGAAAGGATACAATGATGCATTCAGATTACAATTAGATGCCAGCATTGGTATAACAGAAAAAAATGTGTATATTAAATTCTGATGATAAACATAAACTGGTTCTTCCATCAAAATATTGAAAGGACATAGCAAGTAAATCGCATGATATGCCAATGATTTTGACCAAGAAAGACATGGTATTGATTGTATATTATTTAAATTGTTCTTAACTTTGCAAACACACAACAATTAATTAAAACAACCATCAAATCCAACAAAAAATGAATTTGTATAAAACAGACCTATATATATTCGTATACTTCTGATGCGTCGACAGTTCAATTAATTATGAACTATTCAGTTTTGTGCCTAACCAACTGTGATAATCATTATTTGATCAAGTTTTGATAGTAGCATGCGTATGTAGAAAGAAAAAAAAAACAAAGATTAGTGCAGTGCTTAAATATATAATTAAAACTGTAAATTAAGATTCTTAATTTAATTACTATGGAAAATATATATAATTCTAGATATGTATACTAATGGAAAGTATCATAATAATCGTGTGATATTATACATACATATATACTCATTCCTAGTCTTATTTTTTTTTATTTGAACACTATTATTTTATTTCATCAAATAAAGATTGCATTCTACATAGTTAAATATTGAAAAAAGATACTCATCAATTAACTAACATCAAATTGTAAATATTCATATATACACTTAAAATAACCAAACAAAATTAATTAGTTAGCTTAAATAAAACGGAATTACCTAATTTGCAACCATCCCATATAATTGAGCAAATATATATTATTTTAATTTAGGCATATATATGACCCACTAATAGGGATGAAAAATCGAAAATATAATAACCCACTAATATATGACCAATTACTTTAGGTAATTAATTGAATACCATTAATCGAAAATGATTATAAAAAAAAAATGAATAAACATAAAGCATACGAAAACAATTAATAGACCCGAAAAAAATTAAACTTACTTGTGTAATTTGTTGGGTGAATATGATGAGTGTGATGGAACTGGTCGGGGTTTTATAACTTGTGTTGAATTTGGTAAAAAAAGGTAACAATGTATAATTGGTTTTATAAGCATAGCAATATGAAGTTTTGAATAAATAGGATGAAGAAAATGAGTGAAGCCAATATGACATTATATAGTTTGTTTGAATATGTTGTATAAGGAAAATAAATCATTTAATTAAGAAAGAAATTGTAACACTAATTGTGCAATTTCAATTATAAAAATTCAAACGATTTGGACAATCTAAATAATTAAGGACAGTAAAATGGAAAAAATGGAAAGAAATCATTATACCTCATTTGTAGGGGAATTAATTCAAATTACCGCTAATTGAAAAATCAAAAGGTATGTAAATGTGAGAATGTTAATAATTGATTATATAAGGTATGTAGATAAAGATTATTTAGTCATTTGGATTCAAATTAATTCAAATTAATTGCATATATTAATTTATATGGTATATAAATATGCAATTGTATTTATATACCTTATATGCAATTAATTTACGTGATGAAAATGTAAGTAGTTTATTATATAAGGTATGTAGATATAATCTTTAGTTAATTATTTATATGCAATGAAACTTATAGAATAAATAATTCAAAATAAGATTATTGTGCATGGGACAGTGTAAAAGGAAAGTGAACCAAAGTCAAATAAAGAAAATAAATGGGGTCAAAATGGAAGGTGACATTTTTTTATTGTGAATTTTCCCATTATTGATTATGTAGATAGATTAGATTTTTTTAATACGTAATAAATATACTTATTACAAAACAATATAATTAAATAAGCATTCTATTACGATGTATAGTTTTTCCATTAAAATAAGCATTTTATTTTTTCCATTGAAATAAGTATTATATTAAAATTTGCAAAGTAATATAATTAAATAAATAAAATAATAATTAAATAAAATTTGCATAATAAATTGAATTTAATAATATGTATATTTAAGTAACTATTAAATTTACTATTTTAATTACGATGTTTTTCATTAATTTAAATTATTTTAATAACAGCATTCTCCGTATATTTTAATCACATATGATAAAATAATTTAAATTAATGAAAAATAATAATTAAATAAAACTTGCATAATAAATTGAATTTAATAATATTTATATTTAAGTAAGTATTAAATTTACGACGTTTCCATTAATATAAATTATTTTAATAACAATTGGTATTTTAAAAATATTTTTCATGGTTGGAAAAAAATACAAAAAACATGAAATTCCTAAAGTGGATAAATTGTTTCATAATTTAAAATAAAGTTTAATGACATTCTATATATTAAAACAATGTTTTATAGTGATAAATTGGAATGCAATAATAATTATGGAAAGAAGTTCACAAATAAAAGAAATGAAAATATTTGGGAT